CTGGTGTGAAAGCTGAAAAGACTTTTTTAAATTAATGTACAACATCATGAATTGCCTCAGGGGAAGCAAGCATGCAAGAAAAAAACATAATTTATTTTTCATCATTTTCATATCTACCATATCTTTTAAAGGAATTATTCATTTTCTTATGTTGCTTTTACCTGTCAAAAGTGCTGTGAACTTGTTAACTTTGGACCCTTAGCCACTCTGTTGACCTGGATGTGGCGGCTCTGGGTCCAGTTTGCGGCTCAGCAGCCGATGCACATGAGTGAGGCTTAAAAGGGAGATTCTACAGTTTAATACAGCCAAAAATGAGACCGGTTGTATATATGGGCATGTTCCAGAAAAAGCTCTCTGAACAAGATTTGATAGTTTTTCATTTAAAAAAAAAAAAAAAAAAAAAAAAAGTGTCTTGGCTTGCATGGATTATAAGGGATTTTTTCTTTCTTTTTTTTATTTTTTTTTCTCCTATAAAGGTAGTAATAAATGATCTGCCGGCCCTGAAACCTTAAGCGATGTTTATGCTGGTCTGCGTTGTCGAAGCCAGACTAGAAATAACGAATGAGGTTCACTTCCTTGGAGCGTGTAAATGTCCTGACTTAGAGTTAAACTGTCAGCAGCTGAAAGACAATCCCATTGACATGTACCTGGCACTACTTACTCAGGTTTATTTTTTCCTGGAAAGCTGTTTTGGGCGACAGAGCGGCGTCCGGGTTTCCCAGGTTGTTGTGCTGACAAACTGCAGTGGTGGTAAAGGCAGGGAGTCTGACAAAATCTCATTAATCATTTTAAATTAAATCCAACATTCCTCTCCAATACCACTCAGGAAAAAAGCTGACTCTTACAAATGAGTACTCTCTCTGAAAAGATCTGATATGCTGACCATGTTGCTCTCAGACAAATATATTTGATTTCTTTTTTTGTCATGTACACATGCAAAATAATTTTTAACCTTAAAAGGGAGGCTGGCATTATGTTGTTAAAAGTCTTGAGTGCTTCTGTAATAGGTGCTAGGACTGAATATCCCTGAAAATAAGGCTTTCCTAATTTATCCCACCTTTCTGATAAATTACAGTTATTGCTTTGTTTAAAATTATGAAGAATATGTGGAAAGTTCACTTTTAATGAAAAAATTCTCCCATACGCCATGGGTACCTTCTTTGTAAATATTTTACAGTCCACTATTCTAAACTTGTTTGGAGGAGTAAGAATGTAAAAGTGTAAATTTATTAACACTGTCAGCCGAAGCACTGCAGTGATGTTGTAGCAGTGTGGTTCTTTGAAGCTTTTATGTATAAGTTACATTTCTGTAACTAAAATCTAGCTAGCAGGTTATGATTTAATTACATGTATACTAAAAGCCTTAACTTCTAGCATCTGATACATAATATTAGAAGACCACATAGATTTTTATCTTTACTTACTGAAATTGTTGTTTGCAGATTACAGATGTTTATGTATGATTTCTAAGCCAAAATGAAACCGTAATGTGCCTATGGGAGACACAGGAAATCCTTTAAGTCTGTCCTTTGTCCACTTTAACAGTGCTTTGGAGATTAGAGTGGTGGATTTTACAATGGCAGAGAACAAGTCATCGACCTTAATGTTTATTAGTTTTGATACTCACATGAAATATGTGAAAAGAAAAGCCCTTCTCTTAAATTTTTAACTGTAATCCAATATAAGGCAAATAAATTTGACTTCTATAAATGCTTAGTGTTATTTTCTACTTTTTAATATGATAAAGTAGATATATTTCAGTCTTTGCTTAAATACTCAGTCTAAAACTTATTTTTTTATAACAGAGCTGTAAAAAATATCAAATTGCACAATGATAGCTTAGACAGAAACCAAGAGTGTTACTTCAAAAAAGAACAACTCCTATTGATTAACTGATCTATATAATGATCGTCACTAAACTTCACCATACCGAGGAGACAATAGTAAGATTTATTTGCCCAGCTAAACAGTTTATTTTCTTAAACCTGTAATTTGAAGTTGTCTGTATTTTTTCCTGCGTGTCTGTGTTGCTGAGAACAAACTGAAATTTATTTATGCTGAATGATAATTTCTTGTCCATTTCAAAATTGGCAGCCTTGCCTCTAACTTACAGTAGCTTAGGCTTTTGCACTTCATTATAACCCGAAGCAGCTTTGTTTTACTTAGAAAAAAAAAAGAGCTGTAGCCACAGCTGTATGATCTGTTCCTCAGAGTGTGCATGAAAAATATTCAAATTTAGAAATAAGTTTAGGAAAAAAGGTCAGTCACTTTCTGTAACTGAGTTGTGCATCGTAGATGTGACATTCCGTAAATATGTGTAACACTTTGGACGCGGCTGGTGTTTGGGCCGTGGCTTTGGACCCGGCTGGTGTTTGGGCCGTGGCTTTGGACCCGGCTGGCGCTGGCCTGCACGTGTGGGGCAGCAGCGGCGCCACTTCTGCTTCCAGTTACCTCAGCGAGGCGACGAGCGCCGCCAGGGTGCTGCTCCCGCACAGCCCGGCACCGAGAAGCTCTCCCGGGGTTCCTGAGGAACAGGGTTCAGAGGGCAGGCAGTGGGGGAATCGCACCCGAAGTGGGGAGTCGCTTTGCCGCCCTGGATCTCGTTGCACTCATGTAGTTAATTAGTTTGGGATCTTCTGCTTTCGTCTTACAGAGTGCTTGATGAGGGAGTTTTCACAGTACACCCGTGAGCACGCTTAGTAGCATCAGGATCGGTGATGTTTCTATCACTTATTCCTTTTAAAATATATGTGGAGAAAGCAGTAGTGCACTGAGGAAGATCTTCCCACTATTTTGCTTTCAGAGGGTGTATGGAGGAAGACTAACAGAATTCAAACATTATCTTTCTGCCTTTGTAAAAGAGGTGTTAAAACTGCCTAAGATTTTTGGTTTTTTATTAGATGGAAGAAAACTATGTGCTTTAATGATTCTTATAAAGAAGAAATAACTTCTGTCCAGCAAGAAAGAAGAAATGTCTATTTTCATCCTAGAGAGAGTGCTCTTAATTTGAGTAATAAGAGGCATGCTCTTATTTGCTCTTTTCTAATGTAATGTATGGCAGTGCTCAGTGCTAATGCTAGTTAAAATCCTCTTGCAAAGGTCAGATACTGTTATCTGTACATGCGTAGGTGGGTTTTTGTTTCTCCCGGACTTACGTCTTATCAAAACCTTAAGCACATCATCCTGTTTCGAATTTATCTTCTTGGCTGTAACGCTGTCCCTCAGGCTTTCTAAACCTTGTGAAGAGAGGTATTCCACCACGCCAGACAGACTAAGCTCTTTCTGCTCAGAGGTTGAGGATGGGTACTGAGAGTAGCCAGGAATTAAGAAAAAAGACAGATTAAAGAATTACATGCATATCTACAGTGCAAAATCTAACAGATTCACTGATGTCAACATAGTTACCCATGAGAAGAGTATTGGGTGGTGTTCCTCATGTGTGGTATGAGAAGAATACTTTTCCCAATTAGTTGTGCTAAAAGAATTCAGTGGATTCTGAAGTCTTTTAAAAGGCTCTAACTTCTGAGAGGTATTTTTTAGAAAGTTGTATTTTGAAGAGGAATACTCAAAACCTTTTCTGTAGTGTTGGTTCTGCATAGTAAGATGTTAAAGGTTTTCACAACATAACTTACTTTTTTGCAGCTTATCTTCTTTTTCATAGCACTGGTGACCTATGGCTAAAAATGCTTTTTATCATTTAAAAAGTTTCACTTAGACGTTTAAGCAAAGCTCTCGTGCTGTACCTTCATTTGTGCTTGAGCTTATTTCACCATTGATACTTGCATTCTCAGGCCTTCTGAAACACATGAAGGAGCCCAGAGCAGAGCGGTGAAACCCTTCCCTGCGGAAGGGCAGCGACACGGCGGAACTTTGCTGGGAGGCGGCAGCAGTTCTGCAGGCGCCGGGCTGTGGTCGGTCGCTGCACAAACGCACATGCAGTTCACCCCTGAGGAAAGGTAATGCATACACCTCTCTTCCAGTGCATTTTTGCTAATGGACCATAAGTATAGAAGAATTGTTGGTTATACTAAATACTTGGAATAACTGCACTAGCTCCCCTTTCTTCCTCTCCTTCATTTATATAGCCATTATGTGGACTTAAATCAGTGCATTGTTGTTAGCATCACAATTTCTATAACTGCCTAAGCTACGTGTAATCATCACTCCACGCGCAAGGGCAAATAGCAGAGCAGGCAGCTTGCGTGCCAAGGGGAAGCACAACCTGTACTCAATCCCGGGCTTTGCCATAGTTTAAGTAGGTTTCTTACTTAAAAATCAAATTCATCTGTAAAACAGACTCAAGACTATTTTCCTACCTCAGCATTCATCAGGAAAAAAAATCCGTTACTATGATGAATTCAGATACTAGAAATGACTGAATATATAAATTAATGTCATTGAAAAAAAAAGTAGTTCTTATAGAACTGTCCTTTTCTTAATTGAACGTGATGTTCCATTGAAATGAGTTACCTTAACAAAAACTAGGCAGATCTTCATTTACTTCTACTGTGTTGTACTGCTCATGCTCTTGAATACTCGAGTGCTCAAGGACCACTGGTTACGGTGACGCAGTGACCAGCTGCGGTGTCTGTGGTTAGTCAAGCCCCCTCGACTAACCCAGGGGTTTCCCTACCCTGTTCCTACTCTATTCATCTAAAATACCCCTTGAAATCTTCTTGAAATGTGATGGAATTCCTATTTGAAAAATTCTTATTCAAATTAGTTAAGATACCATAAACATCCTTTAAGGTATTTTATGAGTGTTCCATCATGGCATAGATTAATCTTTGTGGTAATATTACAACCAAGGCTCCTTTCATATCTGAGGTGATCAGCACTGCAAAAATGAAGCAAGACCTTAACTGCAGGAAAAAGAAATACAGTACTTTTAAGAGATGAAAGGAGAAACTTTAGTTAAAATTCTTTACAATAAAATAATTATGATTATAAATCTCTTTAGTTAAATATATACACATTACATGGTATTTTAAAAAGAACTTATTAAAGTTTCAAGCCAATCTAATGCACAAATCCACCACTCCGTCAGCTTAGACTGTAATGTCAGTTTAACATTCATAAAGGGCTGTGTCAGACAAATCACATTGTTTTGTGCAAAACTAAAAAATATTAAGAAAGATCTCCAAGTCCTTCGGCTCCCATGGTAACTCGATAGAAAAGGTAGTATACACATACAAACACTTACACACACAATCTCTGATTGCATACAGAGGTTAGAATGACCAGCACTAAAATAACCCCCAAGTCTACAAAATAATTAGTTTCTTCACTAGATTTAGTTCTTGAAGTTTAAAATGTTAAGTCCTAGCAAACTGTGCTTTTTAGGCAGCCACGTGGCCAATAAGGTAGATGTTGTCGTAAAGGTGCCCTACAAAATCTTCACTAATATTCTGTGCAGCTCGTCGTGTGTTTCGGATGAATTCTCTTTTTGACATCTTGTTCTTCACGTGAGGGCTGGTTAGATCAATGGAAAGCAGAATCAGAGAGTAGCATAGTACGTAAACTGCATCTAGACAACAGAGAGAGCAAAATAATAATAAAAATATAAGTAAATTATGTTAAAAATAATGAGTCTTGGACAGGGAGAAAGGTAAGAGTTTCAAGCATCTGGGCATATAGTTGTATGTACACATATAAAAACTAGTTTAAAAAATAAACTATTGGAATAAAAATTAATATAAAGATAATGCTTATCTTGAAATATATGAGCAGTCTTGGTGCTGAAAGCTGGCTAAAGACAATTAGAAATGCATGTTAGTGCCAGTGAGGCACAAATTCCCTCTCCCTTCTGTGGGACTATCCAAAGGGCAAAATGTTAAGTGCTTAAGTCTTTGCAAGGGGGAACTTAGAGATACTAGAGAGCTTAAGGACAGGCAAAAGGGAAGAAAAAGATATGTCCCCTTCCCCCCCTCTTTTTTTTTTCCTTCTTTCTCTATCATCAATTACATCTAAGAAAATAATCTGCATTTTAATTTTTGGTCTTTTTACAACCTGTATGGGAGATGTCTACATACTGAACACGGGTAAAAGACTCTCCCAAGCCAGAGTCTGTACTTGTATAATTATATGGTACCATCATGAACAGTCACGTTACCCACTTATGGTAACATGACTATGTGCAACATCGTAAAGGTTGATTAGCTGTACAAAGTTCTCTCGCCTTACCAGGGCTAAGGCCAAGCTCTCTCATCAGGTCAGGGTTACAAGCACAGAACCTGTGAGAGAACTTTGTTATAAGAGTCTCCAGGTACTCGCCCCGCTCCTCGGGAGCATGGATGTGTCTGAAGAACTCCCTCAGTGCATTTGGCAGAAACTGATTTCTGAAGTTGTGCAGGGTCACAAGGTCATCCAGAACATCTCGCCTGGAAGAAGAAAATCCCACATAACTAAAGGGTTTTTTTAACTTTAAAAATTCTAAAATGTAGATTTAAAAATCAAAATCAGATCTTTAGAATAGCTTCTGAGTTTTGTATTTTTGCTGAAAGACAAAAACTACAACTAACAAGGCAAGGATAATACTATAACCATACCTTTTCCTGACATTTATTATAGTAGCCACATACTACAAAAATACACATTAATCAGAATTCTAAGTTTCTGTACATGCATATTCATTCATAGCACATATGCAGACGTCATTTCCTTTAAACTATCTGAGAAAGCCAGAACAAATACAGGATGAAAGGAAAAAGGAAAAAATTGTGTGCATGATGCACGTTTGGTGCCTAAGTATATGTTGGTACAGTAGTATCCTGTTAAAATGAGGCTTAAATGAAATAAAATTTGCTCCTAAAAACTATTTAAAGTCTAACTCCATTAGGGTGCAACACACCGGAGTTTTCCATTAGCACAGAAACACCTAAAGGACGTGGACTAGCCTACACAGACCGATGTGTGAAATAGATCTGAAGCAAATCTGGAAACCAGTTTGAGGAAAAGCCAAGAATACTCTTCTATACTGATCCTTTTTATTAAGGACTCTGATAAAAAAAGAGGAAGGTTTTTACTTGTAGTGCCTCATTATACACTACTTATGAACAAAAGAGTGTAGGGCCTGCTAATGCTGACTGCAGTCACGTCTGATGTGTATGGTCCTGCATGGAGAGATTCAAATTACCTTTCATCCAGGTAGATTCTCAGCTTCTTCCAATTTAGTGTTCTTGTACAAAAGATAAACTTGGCTATTTCCTTTGGCGAATCGTCTAGAATGCCCTTGGACATGAAGTAGTTGACCCCCTAAGATAAAAGATATTTTTATGTAATTAAGTTTAATCTTCATACTGGTTTTAGAAACAAGCCCTGTACTTAGCAACAYAGGGATATAATCCTACTACTTTTATTTTTCTAAAAGCAGAATGATTTTTCTTCCCCAAATGACACCTGAACATGCACAACACAATTTACAATTTTATATCAAATGTAAAGAAACATAATGCATTGTTATGGTACAGATTTTACACATACTCATACTAGGAAATGTAAAATTATGAATCCTATAGAAAGCATGATGGTTCTGTAGTGTTTTCTTCACAGCTCAGACTAGTATTTTTGTTTACATAGTTTTATAATTGTACTTCATCTGGGGCAAGGACCACGATGGTTAACTTCATACCTGTTGTAAACAAGAAATTCTTAGCCATGATGTGTTTTGCCATTAATATCTTTTATGAAAACATTAACATCAACATTCTCACATGTATTGGTGTGCCACATTCAAATAAATGCATTAAATGCATTTGTTTAAATGTGTGATAATGAAAATAAACATGTTGATTTCAAAGCACCAGTGAATATAAACACATATGTAAATATGCGTACACATAATTCAGAAGTTTTTAATTAAAAATCTGTTTTTTAAAAAATAGATCATATGTATTCCATACTCATATTATCATTCCTAGAATTTTCCATGCTTTGTCAAGCACACATTTCTTTCAGAATAAACATGCCAAATATCATATTGAAATATTTTAGTGATATTCTGAATTCTTTTTGTTCATTAAAATATTCCAAAGCACAAAACTATTTTCTCACGATTTTAGAATCTAAACCAACTTAACACATTTTAAAACTGTTAAAAAAAGGCAACAAAAATATTTAAACCTGAGGATAACTAACCACTTATTTTCATATCAATTTCATGGGAAATGAGGGTTGTTCTGAGTTATTATTTTTAAAGTTACATTACCGATCTGTTTTTATAGCATGATGCTGAAATACATACAATGTGCCCAGGAAATTTATTCAGGAAATTCCTGAATAAAAGAATTTAGGATAATGCAATACCACCTCAATCAATTTTAAAAGATGTCTAAAAATGTTTTTGAATGAATCTTCTCATATTAGAACTTGAAGGTCAGCCTGGAAAAATATTTTGAAGTTCTAAGTTTACACCTATAAAGGCAAAGGAACAACCTCTCATTCGGTATATAATTTCCTAGTGCTCTTCAATTTTGCATATGAGAGAGATAGATACAGGGCTACATACAGTTAAATAATTCTTGCATCTCAAATGGGAATCGAAAAAAGAGGAACCAAAAGGAAAATCAACTGCTTATTGTATAGAGTATTTTGGCAGTTTATATATGATAATCAGTAAAGCACTAGGGCTGCACTAGCCTTTTACATCCTTGGCTTAACTCTGTTTCCATTACCTACATCCTTAGGCTTAGGTATTTGCTTCAGTAATAAGCATTTGCTTAAGCTGGTGTAAACTGAAGCCTGAAGAGGAAGTCTCAGTAGTGTTTTACTTTTAAAGCCCATTCCCCCTACAATTATTTAACAGGGACTTCTGTGACATATCCAGAAAAATACCCGGCACCTCATGGAGTGCACAGCATGAAAGGAACGCCTCCTTCCAGAGTCAAACAGGTTGGTTTTTCTGTGCCATTAAATTCCATAAATCACTTAATTCCTGCATTAGATTACAGTTTAATGTGGGATCCTTATCTGAGAGACTACCAGCTCTTTGCAAAGCATTCTTATTCTCCATCTCTAATTCCCTCTCTCCCCACCATACACTATCTTTGTAGATGTTATTTCTTGCCTCATTTTCCTCATCTCCTTTAAGAACAAAGAGTGTAACTCGTATCTACTTTGACATCATCATTTTTAGTTGCTTTTTATTTCTTCTCAAAGAATAAGAAACATTTTTAAAGAGAAATCAGATTTCTATTGTTGCAAAGATCTTCGATTTTTGCTCGCAACTAATGCCATTTATTTTTACAAGATTTATCACCACGTCATCAAGTCTGCTTTTTGTAAAACTGTAAATGAACTCCTTTCACAGCCCACCTTTCAAATAAATCAGTTTTGCTGGGTAAAACGGTCACCTGGAGTAGGTTTACTAGCTGAAATAAGTAGTTAACACACTATTTTAAGCTATGTTAAGATTATTTATCAGTCACCTGGTCATTCTCCGGAAAACATTCGACTGATGCAGCTACACAGATCTTTGCCACTATCTACTGCTTCTGAAGACCTTTTTGTAACGCTTAAGAAGCACAGAAGGGGATCCCACACATATGTCCTTGTAATTCTGGCTTAGTGGAAAGGTAATTAGGTGAACATTATAGCAGCCAAGATTTACAGGAGCTCTGTATCTACCTTCCTTATGTTTGTCTATATTATGTCCTTTGCACTAGGGAATTAGGAAGGAGGCCTTAGAGACACCTTGTCTTACTTGGCCATGAATGTTACGACTGAATTTTGGACAGCTCAGAATAACATCTTAATGTATGGAAGTGTTTCTTTCACTGTATTTACAAATAACTATCTTAACTATGGCTCAATACTAATAACAAAAACAGCTCTTTGCAATTCAATATATTATTTTTTATAGCTTTTCAAGTCAGGAGGTGCTTTTATTGCAAATTTATTCTGTTACAGTAATGCCACTTCTACCTTGCCTTCTGACAGCGCCCAAGACAAAATCACTGTGGCATTTATTTTTGTGGAGTCTTTCCATTCATTATATTCAGGCAAGTATCTAAAATCAGTTTAATTCTTTTTTTTTTTTTTTTTTTAGGTCGATTTAAGTTCTGCTTTAATTTTCTTCTCTGCTAACAGTATTTTCACAACATTTCAAAACCATGGTTATATTAAATTTGTGATGGAGTGTTTTAAATGCAGAAATATTCTTCATGTTGCACAGCTTCCAGAACTGATAATTTACAAGATTAATATTATCTAATTTAAAATGTAGTTTTAAAAAGGATTCAGCTGTCTGATCCATTCCCACTTTTTACATAAATCACACAGAGCAATTCCTTCCTCCTCCCACATGCACATACTTTTAATTTTCTTAGGACAAATAAATCAATGCATCTCAAACATGGCTTGTTCTCTATGGAAAAAAATGGTAAGTTTTCTGCTTAAGTCACAAGCTGCTGACCTTCAACAGAAATATGGTTAGAAATACACTGCACAATAAATATTCTACTATCTGCAGACTAGCCATAATTAAAAGACAGTTAAGGTTTCTTTATGAAAGTCTCCAAAAATGCATTTATAACTAAAAAAGGACAGAAAACTCACCTCCCTGACAAAAACTAGGGTGATGAATAAGAAAATCAATTAGGAAAGTAGAAAGCCAGGCTCAGTGTAAGCATGTCTCTGCTTGCTGTATTTTATTAAGTTAGTATACTGTGTGAAGAAAATCCTGGGCTTATTGAATTCTGAGGGCTACAGTGCTGTCCAAAATCCACCGGATTCATAAAAATAAATGCTATTTAACAGAATTGGATAGAACTGTCATCATTAGGAAGGAAACAAGATTAAATCTCCTTTCCTGACAAATGTATTAGCTCTTCCACCTTCAATTCCAATTATGTCATAACAAAATCCCATGTAATAAAATGGAAGTATATTGTATAGGGAGTCAGAAACAGCATACCAAACAGTTGGAGATACCTTATGGGTGCTTACGAATTCTGAGCCATAAGTGTAACGTGATACAGAACGAGCACTGCATGATAAACACCTCACATACACAATACACTAGAATAAAATACAGCCGAGACCACGTAGCAGACTGCACAGCAATAGTTTTCATAGTCGAGTCTTGATACTACAGCTACCCCCGCCACCCCTCATTTCTACAACGGTGCTGCCATATGGAAAAAAGCCTCCCAAATCAGAAGCAAGACATGCACTGGATGTTCTTTTTTTTCCCCAATTATGCGCAGTGTGGTTAGGCACATCCTTTCAGGAGGATGTGAGCAAGCTCATGCACACAGCCAGTACGTGAAACTGCAGCAGATAGATAGCACAACGCCATGCACACAACAAGGGCTAACCGGAGAATCCTACCACAAAGTGTGCGGATGCTCTCCCCTACCCCGTGAGCCACCGCTAGCTCTGGAGCTGCTGCTGTGGAGCCTGGTTACCCATTTTCATGACATGGGCGGTGTCCTTTGGAGAATCGCGCTCCTGGGGCTGTAAGTATTCTTACTTTTAGAGTTTTTTGATCGGGTCTGTTATCAAATGTAAAGCAGAGTTTGGCAGGAAATTCGGAGACACAGTTTGTAATAGGGGAATGTCATATCATATATTCCAGTCACAGTGTCTTTCTAATAATAATTCTGCCAATATCACAGTTGTAAGCAAGAAAAGCAATGGTATTCGTGAATTCTCCTTAAACTCAGGCCCTGAATGATTCCTACCAGGCTACGGTGCCGCACAGGGAGAGAGGAACAGAAGCCTTTAGGAGATACCCTGATACTCAACTTCTCACTAGGCTTGAAGCAGACTGTTCAAACCTCCATCATTGCAACAAAACCATAATGAACCCAGAAGAAGCAAATGTAGTGGTACAGATTTAATGCCTAATTTAGGCTAATCCATAACTCCAATTTTGCCTCTTGATTTCCTTTAAAAACAAAACCTCTAACTCAGTGCCTTTCACAAGGCCTTCAAATGCTTTCAACCTACCAGATTTGTAATAACATTGGGCTGGAAAAAAATCCCAGCCTATTATAGACTAAGACAGTAAGTGAAGAAGTATCTTAAAACAAATAAAGGCAAAGAAAAATCTCAGTGGGCAAAAGTGTTACCATTAAGACTTGATTAGGATATGCACTCTTGAAATTACATTCTCATTATCTAAACATTGATTTTCATTCAAAAAGCTTCACATTTAATACTAAATTCACTAAAATCCTCTTGGAAATCAATGCTCATCACTCCTGAGTGGCAAACCGCAGACAGAACCTCTCAGAAGGATGTACTGCAGTACAAGCAACACTATACCACAGAAATTACCAAAAGCTCTACTTTGTGATTAATAATAAGAGTTGTTGTTCTCTTTCTCAAGTAAAATATAACATAAAGCAAGAATCAAGAGTGAAAAAAAAGTCACATTGTTGTAATGATTCGTATGACTGCTTTATTTCACCCTGCAGCATAAGAACATGTTTTCTGCATCAGAGCAGCAATATAAACTACTAGCTCCAAAAACACATCTTTCCACGCCTCTGAGCCCTGTTCTTATTTTGGATTTATTCAATTACCACTTCCTTGTGTATATGTAGGAAGTTAATACTTGGTTTTGTTCAATATTGTGTACTTATCTTTTCCTGGAAAACATGAATCAGGAGGGTGTTGTGTGTGATGCTGTGTGTGCACGATTCCATTTATCACTTTGGTTTTAGCTGCATATCTCCCAGGCAATAATTATCCACTGTCACACTGCTTTCTTCTTTGATAAGTGACAGAGAAAAGGTGGAAACTGACTTTTTCAGCTAGTCACATGAATTAATACATAGAAACCTTTTCATTCTATAGGGGATTTTTTGGTAATTAATATATGGTACCATTTATTGTGAAGTAGTAGTATGTTTATGCAAAACAAACCCCTCCCACCCCAATCCCCAAAGGGGAAAAAATCAAATCAGACTGCTATTTAGGAAATTTCAGTAGTACCTATTTTTAGGTACTTTTTTAGGTACTAATTTTTACTACCTATTTTTAATAATACTAATTTTGTGTGTTTATATTAGCTTTTTGGGGATTTTGTTTGCCACATTAGCATAAACTATATTTTGCAGATCAATTGTAGAAATATTTATGTTTTACAAAATGTTTTATGTTTTTTACAAAAATGTTTTACAAGGTAACACAATCGTTACAGAATTAATTTTATTTCTTCATGTATCATCCTGCTTTACTTAAGACAACTGAAGCATGATGAAACCAATACTTTAAAGTAGCATTTTGGCATTATGATTTATTTGAGGGCTTTTAATCCTTTCTAAACTGACCACTGTGTCTTCAGACAGGATCTGCGCCTTGTTTCTTTGTCAATATACGGTTATAAACTTCCACAGGCATCCACAGATGAGACTGCTGTGCAGGGGGCTTATGAGACAAGCCATGTAAATGGCGTGCACAGGTACTATGGACAGGGCTATAATTTGGTATCTACCAATCCTGCAGTAAAACAAACACTTATTAAAAGGTATCTTCTATATAATTACTAAGCAAAAATTACAGTCATTTTAACTATTACTGTCAGCAACAGGTCACTTACCTCATCAGGGTTGGCATTAAAGGTGAGGCTGCCCTCATCCAGCTGCATATACAATTTTCTAAAAGAAAATCCTAGAGGTGGATTCTTATTGTATATAGAACAGTGACCCCAAGTGGACTTGCACAACCTATGAAAATAGAATTAAGTCTAATATCAAATTTCTTTCTGTATTCATGTATTTTACACACACAAAACATTACCAGCACCACAAAACTAAGTACTTAAACATTATGAAAAGTCAGAAATAGACTGGTTGTAACACTTCTTTAGCCTGTCTGTTATTAAAATTTTTAGTATATTTATTAGTCAGGATTGGGTGTATTTGCGTGCAGTCTCAAAACACATCCCAGCAGGTGGCATCGTAACAGCCCCCACAGTCCTGGGCCACAGGGACAGGTTCTCCTGCTGCAGTATGACACGTTTGTGCGGCTTTCTTTGTGCTACAGCTGTGCACGAGTGAGTGGGAAGCCATATCTGCACCAAATTACACCATTAATTCACTGCCTTCCGCCTGTCCTTTTCCCAGACTTTACCAATCCAGGTTATCTGATCCAGTTCCAACCCTCCAAATACATTTCATCTGTATTTTCCCTTATTTCAATAATTAAGCTCAAACATACTCAATGTATTAAGCAGTAGAAAGATGCAGAGTTTTCATCCCTTTATAGCTGCAGCTTTTGCTGGGTAGGTTTGCTTGCTTAAGCTGGATACTTATCTGAAGTTCAGAGAGGAAATAAGGGAAACATTTCAGCTGTGCTTTGATCCAATACAAAAGTGAAGACAAATCCTTGTTTACCTCTGTGATATATCCAACTGGTTTGTAGTAACACAACAACTGTGTAAATGTAATCTCCACTAACACTTTCTAGTAATTGCAAATGCAGAATAATATATTTTTAAATTGTACTCATGTTTCTCCTGTGTTAAATTTCAATTACTTCAGGATTTTTTAAAAAAATACTACACCAACAAAGCACATACTGAGACAAAATTTACATCTAATAATTTTTACTACATTCAGGTGATTTTTTATTATTGGCTTACCCTTGCCAGAGAAGCTCATCATTTGCAAGATCCTGCCAGACACATGAAGCCAGACAGAGATCAGTTGCATTCAGGTATGATAAAATGGTGAAACTAAGCTCTGGGGGCAGCATCTCCAGGTTAATGAATCCTTCTTGTTCTTTAGATTTTCTTGTCTTCAACAGATGGTAGATGTCAATGCCTCCTTGGGTTTGTTTGCGATGGCTTGTACTGGGAACATTGTTAGTAGCTATCCTCCTACCATGCTCTCTGGGAAGATAGCCTTGTCCACTGTATCCTTGGTGCTGCAGCTGCTGGTTCCTAGCAACTCTCCAGAGTCCCTGACCCATCTGCGAACCTACAGGACATCAAAGGAAAATCATATATTGAGTTGACAGCTATTTATCGAAATTTCCAAGGCAGATGTACAGGAAAAGTTAAGATAAAAAACCTAAAATTGTTTTGAACAGAAAAAGTTAGTCTTGTCAAAATTATGCCAATAGATTAGTCTGTCTCCAGCAGAGAAACTGAATAAATACTGAAAACAAAAATCATTAAAAAAGATACTTTTCCAAATGTTATTGCACCTGGAGAATTATAAAATTTCAGTAACTTCTGCAAACAGTGCCAGACATTATTTTTGTGAATTATTCTATGTCCCATGCAAGTTAAGAAGTTAATCAGAACATCTGGAATGATTACCCTCAAATTATTTTTAAAAATTCACAGTAATAGATTATTTATAAACAGTTAGTTGCTGTAAAAAGTAAAGAATGTAAGTGTCTGTGCAGTGGGTAGCATGCAAAATTAGGGACTGATATTATGACAAGACTTAGCAACTTGGGGATGGCTTTGAGCAACAGTTTTCCTTTATAATTTACTTCTGTGATAATTAAGGTTTTTCTCTTTTTCTGAACACCTAAAATATCTTTTCAACCTTTTTTATTTTTTTTCCACACTCATAAGGGCTAGGGCCTTGGGTATATATCCTTTGAAAATAAAAACTAAGATTCTAGCTGAAGTTAGGTGCTATTCACCATTCTGTCAGTACTTCTTAAGAGTATCCAGAAGTAATGAGGCAGAATGTAAGAGGTGAGATTAAAAGTAAATTTACTGATAGCATTAAAAAAATGATGATAGGGCTTCTATAACTTTAATTATCGCAACCAGTACACTGTGGACTTGTTATTTTCTATCTTTTTTTTTGCAGATGGTAATAAAAGCAAAAGATAATGAAACTTAATTTTCAAGATTTCTAAATGATACATTTCATACTTAATCCTAACAACCTTATAAATCACATGTTGTCTGAATCCTATCAAAAGTAGTCTATATATACTGATATATCTCTTATTTTTCAACTTATGCTATGACGACATTCATTATAAATAATCATACTAGGAATCCTCAGATTCCTGATGCTGACTTTCAAAAAAAAAAAGCCACAAAAAACTTCCAAATAATTTTAAAAGTATGTTAGATCCATTATTAGTTATTTATTTTCTTTTAGCAGACTGAATTAAGATTGGGACTTAATCTGTTAAAAGATCAGAAAGAGCTAGAAATGATTCTATGCAAGCAGAAGAAACGGAGTATGAATGAGGTGAGGGATCATGGGAAGAAAAAGAAAAAAAAAAAGCATATTCTTAATGGATGCGGGTGAAAGATCCAGGTTTGGCTGGTTGGTAGACTGGTTATCCACATGCATATCTATTTACTGCAGTTGTAGAATTCATTACTTCTGTCACATATTCCAAAATATCTAGTCCATGATGTCAAAAATCTATGTTGCAGCCATCATTTCTGACCTTCATTTAAACTCAGTAAGGCCAAAGGTATGAAGAAATTGTAATCATCCTTTTAATAATCGATTTAGTAACATGAAAACTTTTAAAGAAAATCAACCCTTCCTCTACTTTCACTTCTTGAACAGATATATATTCAGGCTAACTTTTTTAGCATATTGAAGACAAGCCGTTATGAATAGTTATACCAGGCAAGTGTTAGGTAAAACAAACAAACAAAAAGCTCTTTCTGAGACACACTAAGACCGTATGCATAGGAAGTTATTCACATTTCCTTGAGATCACCGTTCAACTTTTTAGAAGTCCTCAGCACTACTGGTGAACTTGCTTCAACAGACAAACTGCCACTTACACATGGCAGCACAAGAACGCTCAAAGTGGCACTTACGCTGATTTTTGCCATTGATTTATGAAACATAGTCCAAGATGTAGATATTTCTATTTCTTTACAAGAAGAACTCTGTCCGTATCTTTCATTCTATGGCAAGACAAAAGTAAGAGCATTTTTAACACTCTCAGAGATGCAGTTCAGTGCCAACTTTTTCCAATTCTAAAACAGAAGGAACCTATTAACCTTCGTCCAAGAGAAGTATCACCACCAGTAACACCAACTGTAGCAATAATACTAAAAGCATCAGTGGGAGGTGCGCCGGAGTTGACATCTGGGACTACAAACGTAAGCCCATGAAGTCCCCTTATCACTTCCAACTGCAGCTGCTGCTTCTTCTGCTGTTGCTACCCTGGAGAAGACAGACTATAAAGGGATGAGCTGTATGGAACCAAGAGAAGAAACAATTGTTATGGGTAGGCATTAACTGCCAAGTAGGCTAGTAGGAATGAAGAAGAGAATTTCCTAAGGGATGAGAAAAGCAGCCAAGGAATATCACTGAACAAATACAACATTTTAAAAAGGGCTACTATGACTGATTCACGGGATTCAACTGAGTTCAAATTCCCATTTTACCAGGCAGTGTATATGTGCTTGTTAATTACCAAAGTACTGTAAGAAAGTATCTCCAAACATCTTGTGAGGCTTAACTAATTTTTGTCCTTAGCCATGGGAGCAACACTGCAAACAAATAATTATACTTGCAAACATGCAGATGCAAATTTTTGAAGCTGTCTTTCTTTGTTTACAACAGGTATCAGACGACCTGAATAACAATGATTTCAATGATAAAAATTATGTCAAGGAAATAGTAAAGAAAATGTATGTACATACACATACAAATGCACATGATGTGGATGAAACTCAAATATACACTGCATGTTTTCTGAGTGTAGCTCTTTGTGTAAAAAAGGAAACAAGTCTGCCTGAACATAGAGCATTGATAGAATAACCAGACAACAAGAGATCGTTTTCAAGGACTGAGACAATCAGGCGTGTGGGCTTGTGTTCCTCATCATGATTCCAAATTGCTAACCAAAGTAGCAACAGAAATCAGCAAAGAAAACAATGACAACAGTGACGCAACGAACTTTAAATTTCAGGAAATAGGAATGATCAAACGTGTTCCATGCAAACAGCGTATGTCATGTAGACTGAAATAAAATTTTTCTTAAGTGCTGAAATCTGTTTCTGGAGGTAATTTTTGATATGACAATTTAAGGACAGTATTTTGTTTGTATTTTTGCCATCTCTTCTGACAATACTTTCATTATATATATTAAAAAAACCCCACATGTCTATATACATTTGTTAACGTCACACTGACAAAAAAAGTCATTTAAAAATAATTACTTGGACAATAAGAAAAAGGCAGTAATGGGACATTCAAGGCTCTAAAGAACATAAGGAATTACATTTTGATAAGTTTCATAATAAGAATATGCCAAAAAGATGGCATCGAAAAAGCAGCAGCACTAGCAGAACTGGGTCATCAAAAGACTGTGTCTGATAAATTATGAAGTGAACTTTACACCACTAGATGAGCATTTGGCACTTTTAAATTAGTCTCAAAACCTTTCCAAAGTCAGATTATCTTTCTGTTGCATATACAATACTTGTAAAGAATTTCCAGTAGTTGCAGGAGATCAAGTTTTCCTTCTTAGCCCTAAAACAAATTTCAAAGTTTACAATGCTACTCTCATCTTTTTATTGCTATATTCAAAGTGCAGTTTCTGCTCTCAAATTACATGCTATCGAACAATTCTAGGCTAACAAGAATACCTGTAATTTTTGCTGATGTTCACGGGACTTTTCTCCCTGCTAAGCTAAAACCTAAAACTGACACAACAGCTACAACTTCTAAATCATTAAATGTTCGAAAGCGGCTCCAAGATAGAAAAAAATACACTATCTTTCAAAAAGCTAGACTTACTATATAGTTATTCTTCCTGTAGTTATTATACAAATATAGTAGACATCGCAGCATAAGTCTTAAAAATCTTTTAACTTAAAAATGGAAAGTTCTACCTTTTTCTTAATGTCCAGTACCAAGTGAAGCACTTTCACATAACACAGAGAGCGATACAATTTAAACGAATCTAGAACCACTTGCTGGGATAAAGGAAAAAAAAAAAAAAGCTTAATTAAGTGCTCAGTTAGTGAGCAGCTTATGCCATTTTTAGCTCCTACAACTTACTTTTCCCGATCAAGCCGCTATTTCCAGCTCCGCAGCGCACCAGGAGGAACGCCCTGAGAACGCGCTCGCGACACGGAAGGAGCAGCCCTGCTGTCGCCGCAAGCGCACCTCGAGCTGCGCTGCGGGATGTACTTTGCACACGCAGCGCCCGCGCTCCCGCGGCCGCTCGCGCTCCCACCCACGCGCTCGGTTACGCGGCTCCACCTGAGGCCCGAACGCTCCCAACGGCTGCGCCGGGGTAACGGCCGCGGGGCTGCTCGGCGCCGCGCGGGGCTCTCGCGGCGG